GCTGGCCCGCGTGGCGTTCTTCACGCGCTGCCGGGAGGAGACGACGGTCAGCAGCCTTGCAGCTGCCCCTGCCCACCACGAGCCCTCGCCATCCCCCTCCGGCTGCCCTACCAGGGGCACCGGGCACTGCCAGCACCGGGGTCGGTGGGTGGGGGACCCCAGGGGCACAGGCCCACCTGCAACAGGGTGCTGCCGTCGGCACGGCAGATGCGATACAGGGCGTAGGCAGGGATGCAGAGCACGGAGGACAGCGCCATGAGGAAGCCGACGGCCACGGCCCAGCCCGGGTAGACGTAGTCGTTGTAGGCGATGGGCCGGTACTGGATCACCGTGAACACCAGGATGAACTGCGGGCGGGAGCCGGTGCTCAGCGGGGCGCTCAGCACGCCGTGACCCCCTCCCTGCCCCGCGCCGTGGCCTTGACACCGCCACCTCCCCTGCTGCTGGGTGCACCCCGCAGCAGGCATCGCCCCCCTCCCCTGCTCTTGGGGAGCACCGAGTCAGCGGGGTCACACGTCGCCCCTGCCCCCCCACGTCCACCCGTGTGCAGCCCCCGCCAGGTGCCAGCACTCACGAAGATGATGGCCGGGGAGAAGAAGCGCCAGCAGATCTGGAAGAAGAGTGGGGGCGGGAAGCCCAGCATCATCTCGATGTCCTTGAAGTAGTTACGGTGCCCTGGGAGGGGGGCAACAGGCAATCAACACTGGAGGGGGGGCTCCCCTTGCCCCCCAAAGCAGGGCCGGGCTCCACCTGCTGCCAGCGTGTCACATGCATGTACCGTCTGGCCCTGGCATGGCACAGAGGTGAGAGCAGACCCTAACGCCCCCCCACCTCTGTCGAAATGGGACCAGGACCCCGAGTCCTGCCTCTGCCTGACCCCAGCCGAGGCTGGCACCCGGGGCAGCCCCTCTCTGCAGCCTGGAGGAGCGCCGGGCAGGCTCCGGGCCCGTGTCCGGTACCTACCGTAGACGTACATGATGGCGACACACATGATGCAGGAGATGACGACCAGGGAGAAGCTGGCGGCGTAGTTGTCCATCAGCAGCAGCCAGTAAATCCCAGCCTGCAGGAGCGCACGGGGCAGGTGGGACGGCAGGTTGGCCCCAGGGTCAAGGCATCAACCCCTGGGGTCAGGGCACAGCCTGCCTCAACCCAGACATAAGCAGCCCCTTGCTGGCTCCTCGGCCCCCTGCCCACAGCCCAGACCCCCAGCACCATGGGTCCGGCTAGTGCCAGGATACAGCTGGGGCCGTGCACGGCCAAGGCCCACCATGAAACTACCAGCCCCCAGGGAAGACATGGGGCGCAGAACAGGTGAGGGCCTGGGGCCACGGGTGCAAGAAGAGAGTGGGTCTGAGGTGCTGAAGGGGGGGTCATAAATTCCCAGAGCCGCGGGGCTGGCAGGGAGCTGTGGGGTCCCATCCAGTCCAACCCTCCCCGAGGCAGGATCAGTCCCATTCAAACCAGCCCAGACAAACCCCGTGTCTAACCTCGGAGCAACACAACAGTCACCCCTGGCACAGCCCCAGGCATCGCCCCCGCCCCAGGGATATGGAGGGGGCTGCAGCTGCCAACGCCCTGCTGCTGCAAAGGGGGGTCATAAGTGATCCTGAGACCCCAAGCCGAGGCCGTGCCCCCACTTCAGAGGAAGGCAAAACCCCTCCCCAATGCATACCAGTTTGACCAGAGTGGAAATCCCTTGCCGCACTGGGTGCTGGCTATCATGCCTCTCCTTGAGCCCCTCCAGCAATGGAGAGCCCCCCCTGCCCTGGCATCTCTCCCACTGCTGCACCAGTGAAGTGTTTCCTGATCCGACCTAAACCTGCTTTGCTGCAACTTCAAGCCGCTGGTTGCATCCTCCCTGCCGCGAGACAAGGTGCTCTCTCCTCTCTCCGGCAGCTCAAGAGGGGACACGGCTGCAGCTGCAAATACCCGAAGGCGCCTTTTCCACAAGCTGAACCTGCCCAGCTCTGCCAACCTCTCCTTCCAAGCCCCTGATCATCCTCGTCTCTCTCCAAGTTCTCTAAAACGTGGAGCCCCGAATGGCACAGGAGGCTCTAGATGAGGCCTGGCCAGCACCGAGCGAAGAGGCACAGTCATCCCTAACGCTCCTATTGATGCAGCCCCAAACCACGTCGCATTTTGTGCAGCTGCCTCAGCGCACTCATCGAGTCTGCGGTCACCGAGACTCCTGCGTCCTGCTCCGCGGTGCTGCCGTCCAGCCGGACATCCCCCATTTGGCGCATGCTCCTTCTCCCAAGGGTAGCACCTTGCACTTGTCAGCACTGAACTCCCCCCGGGTCGCTCCAGCCTGGTTTTCCAATCTGTCGGGATCCTTCTGCATTGCACTCCCGGCCTCCAGCATGTTCATAGTCCTGCCACCCACTCCGATGTGGAAGGAGAGTCCAGCCGGCCCTTTGCAGCGCCCAGATGTAGCTGCTCCTCGGGCAGTGGCTCTCAGGCTTTGCTGACTCCAGGCCCCCCCTGGGGAGACTCCAGGCCCCCCTCAAATGCAGTCACAGCAGAGCCGGCAGAGGTCACATCCAGTCCAGCCCTCTGCCCGAGGCAGGATCAGCCCTGTCCCAACCAGCCCAGACAAACTATCATCTAAACTCTGCATCAGACTCAACCCTGACACAACACCCAGCTAACACCCGACCCTACCCCTGGGAAAGCACGGCAGCCGCAGCAGCCAACGTCCTGCTTCTATGAAGAGTTGTCAATATTCGCTCCAGAGACCCCAGGCAGAGGCCGTGCCCCTGCTACAGAGGGAAGCAAAATCCCCATCATCCCTTCCTGACCCCAAATTTGGCCTCGGGTCTGACTCTGAGCGGGGGGGCAAGACCCTCTAGCCAGGGGCCTCCAGAGTCGGCACAGCCTAGTTGAAGTCCCCAGCCTGGGCTGCAGCAGCAGCACCCAGTGCCTCTGGGGAGGCTTCAAACCCGACACATGGGGCAGGAGCAACCAGCAGAGCCCAGAAGCCTGCGCTGTGCAGCCACTTCTCAAACCCTGCCAGCGATGGAGAGTCCCTCCTCCCCTGGCATCTCTCCCACGGCCTCCCTGCTCTGACAGTGAAGAAATGTTTCCTGAGACCCAACCTAAACCTGCCTTGATGCAGCTTCAAGCCACTGGTCCACGTCCTGCTCCCTGCAGCGAGAGAGGAGCGGAGCTCTTCAGGTCGGCGCATGCCCCTCTTGGCACCTTTTCTGCAAGCTGAACGTGCTCCGCTCTGTCAGCCTCTCCTTGCCTGCCAAGCCCTTGAGCATCTTTGTCGCCCAGCCCTGGATCTTCTCTAACATCTCCATGTCCTTTTTAAAACGTGGAGCCCCGGATGGCAGAGTCTCCAGATGAGGCCTGGGCACTGCCAGGCAGTGGCACTGTCACCTCCCGTGTCTCGCACCTCATGCTCCTATTGCTGCAGCCCAATACTGCAGCAGCCTTTTGTGCGGCCGCATCACGCTGCAGCCTCCTACCAACTCCCAGGTCCTTCTCCATGGAGTTGCATTCGGCCAGGTGCTTCCACTCTGCATTTGTGTTATAAATACCAGTTCTTTATGTTCCCTTGTTCTTCCACTAGAGAAATCCTGGAGCCTTCTGCTGCAAAGAGCTCGGCATGCCCAAGGCAAGTAGGAGGCTTCAGTTCTGGATTCGTCTGAAACCCTGGGTTGATGCTAGGTTGATGCCCACCTCCCGGTGCTAGCGTGGTATGGCACCCTGCAGCATATCTGAAAGGACCTCCAGGGCCCCTGGGGCAGCCCGGCGGAGAACCCCTGGGCTAGACCATCCCTGATGACCCCTGGGCACAACCTCTGTTTGCCACGGCCAGGGATGGACGGAGACAGAATCGCAGAAAATGAGGGTAGGAAGGGAGCTCAGGAGGTCACATCCAGTCCAACCCCTGCTCCAAGCGGGACCAGCCCCAACTACATCATGCCAGCCAGGGCTTTGTCTACCTGGGTCTTCAAAACCTCCAAGGATGGAGATTGCACCACCGCTCAGGGCAGCCTATTTCAGTGCCTCACCGCCTTCCTAGTGAGAAAGCTTTTCCTAATATCCAACCTAAACCTCCCTTGCTGCAGCTTGAGCCCATTGCTGCTTGTCCTGTCATCTGCCCCCACTGAGACCAGCCCAGCTCCATCCTCTTTGCAGCCCCCCTGCAGGGAGTTAGAGGCTGCTATCAAATCCCCGCTCGGTCTTTTCTTCTGCAGACTAAACGAGCCCATTTCCCTCAGCCTCTCCTCGGTCACGTGCCCCAGCTCCCCTGGCTGCCCCCAGGCAGGCCGTACCCCTGCCCCATGGCTCTGACAGGGGATCGGGGTTGCTCCGTGGGCACTATGTGGCATGCACCGGGAGGCCGACAGCCCGTGGGCAGGGGCAGTCGAGTGCCTACCTGGGTGGTGAGCGGGATGCCCAGCAGGAAGCCAACTACCGCTATGCCCAGCGTCACCAGGGTTTTGCGCCGCAGGATCCACTCGTTGCCGATCTCATCCACGATGGCCGTGACCAGTGTCTCCAGCAGGCAGAACTGCGCGGGAGCGGCTGTCAGGGCGGGGGGGCCTGGCACTGCCCCAGCTTCCCCTGATCCCAGGGCAACGGGAGCCCCGATCTGGGCAGATCCCTGCTCCTACCCCCTGGGGTCCCTCTCCCCCCAGCCTTGCACTTGGGAGCCCCTCCACCCCCCATAGCTAGGGGCTGTGCCTGCCCCTGCCCCGCTACCTGGGTGCCCCCTCCCTACCATACCTGTGTGCCCAGCCCCAACAGGATGAGCATGAAGAAGAAGAGGATGGACCAAAGGGGCGAGATGGGCAGCAGGGTCAGAGCCTCGGGGTAGGCCACGAAAGCCAGACCAGGGCCGTGGTCAGCCACGCGCGACACATCCACGCCCAGGTGATGCGCCATGAAGCCCAGGATGGAGAAGATGACGAAGCCGGCGTAGACGCTGGTGGCGCAGTTGGTGATGCTGATGATGATGCTGTCCCTGCGGGGGGCAGAGAGGGGATCAGCGGGGCCGGGGGGCAGCCGGGGGGCTGGGCTGGGGGTCTCACCTGGAGCTGTTGTTGTGGAACTTGTTGTAGGAGGCCATGGTGATGAGCCCGCCCCAGGCGCAGCCCAGCGAGTAGAAGATCTGGGAGGCGGCGTCGCCCCACACCTGCCGGAGGATGGCGTTACTGCAGCAACGGCCCCTGCGCCCCCCCCACGGCGTCCCCCCCATCCCCAGGGGGCTGCGGGTCGGGAGTGAGGGGTGCAGGCATGGCTGGGATCCTGGGGGGCTGCAGGCAGTGTCTGGGGTCCAGCCAGTGTGACCCCAGCTGCCCCAAATGCTGGCGGCTAGACTGTGGGGCTGGGTCCGAGCAGGGCACAGGGTACTGGAGCGACTGTCCCCCCAGGTAGGGCATCCCCGGGGTCACCCCCAGGCCCAGCCCACCTTGGCATCCAGGATCTTGTCCCACTGGGGCATCAGGTAGTAGGTGATGCCGCTGACAGCGCCATCCAGCGTGATGCCACGCACGAAGAGGATGGTGAGCACCACGTAGGGGAAGGTGGCTGTGAAGTACACCACCTGCGGCGACGGACATACGGACGTGTCAGTGGCGGCCACCCCCAGGCAGGGGCAGCTCCAGGACAGGGGTATGAGGGGGTGCAGAGGCCAGACTCTACTTGCTTTTCCGGATGACTTGACGCCCTTGATGAGGCAGAGGAAGACAACAACCCAGGAGACGCCGAGGCAGCCCAGCAGCGGCAGCCGCACCTCGCCCAACTGCCCGATGTCGTCCGACAGCTGCAGCACGTACCGCCTGCCGGGCACAACCATCAGACGTGCCCGGTGCCTGCAGCCCGGCCCCGAGCCCCTACCCACAGGCTCCTAGCATCCCTGTGGCCTGGGTGCTCCCACGCCCACCCCCACGGCAGCCATGCCCCCACCTCCAGTACTCCTCGCTGGGGCTGGTGCGCTTGAGCGTGTGGTTGAGCAGGCGGGTGAAGTTGTGGGTGGGCAGGGGGCCCGAGCGGTTGCTGGCAGCGTCCAGGACACCGGCGCAGTCGCCCGTGTTCCAGGCGTTGCCGCAGTAGGTCCAGGGCAGCACCCGCGTCATGGAGGCGAAGAAGTAGTAGAAGGCGACGCAGATCACCACGTTGTAGTAGATGCCGATGTAGGTGGAGACAACCATCATCCCGCAGCCCACGCCTGCGGACGAGGCCATGAGACACGGGCTGCACTGGCGTACCACGCTCTGGCCAGCACATGCAATACACGTATGCAGTACGACTGTGCCACCCCAGCGTGAGCTGCACCAGCACATGCAATGCATGTCTGCGCAACGTGAGTGTGCCACACTAGTGAGCAGCATCACTGCATGCAACACAGCCACACTCATACAAACAGCACCATGTGTAACATGAGCGTGCCTCTCACCAGTGAGCAGCACCAGCACATCCAACATGAGTATGTATAAGGTGAGCACGTGCAATGTGTGCACCACACCAGCACATGCAACCCAAATGTGTGCAACGGGAGCACATGAACAGCAAGAGCATGTCCATCTAGTGTGTCAGGAGCATGCATGCAGCTGAGAACAAGCGTGCTCCCATGCAGATGCCGGAAGGGGGGACTGTCACAGGGGCCATGTCTATACAAGGTGCTTACTGCACAGTAGCTCGTTACTACTGCCCCGTAGCTTTGCGTGGCACAAACCGTGATACGACGCTGCTGCACAGTAGTAACAAGTTACCGTGCACTGAGCGCCACCAGGAAGCCGTGCGGGGATGCTACTGCGCAGTAACAGCCGTGCAGTCAGTGTCTCATGTAGACGGGGCCAGGGTGGTGGAGAGGCCGAGCGGGCGAGAGGCCTGGGGCTCAGGGGTGGGCAGAGCTGCAGCCCAGGAACGCTTGTGCTAGACAGGAGCTCCTGGGGCAGGACTGGGGGGGCTGCATGGGTGCACTTGTGACCCCCCTTGGATTCCTGCTCCTCCCAGAGCTTAAACCCAAGGGCCTGGTTGTAGCAGCAGCTGGCCGTGGCAGCTCTTCTAGCCAGGCTGCGCTGACTTCGTGGCTTGTTGTCGACCACCCGATTCCTGCTAAACTCTTCGCTCCACAGGTGAGAACGCCTCTCTCCTTCCTCGCTGGTCTTCAACAGCTCCACTAATGGAGCCTTTCTTCTGCAATGAACTGCTCCCTGCCACCGCTTTCACCTCTAGCTAAACACGAGCTCAGGTGTGGAAATGGGAGCTCAGGTGAACATTAACTCGGGCGTGGAGGTGACTGTCAAGGCGCTCAACTGCGTTCTGTATGTTTAACGACTCCAGGACTGACGAATGCAGCGTCTTGGGAGCCTTTTGCCTAATTGGCTGCGGTTTGACATGTAATCTGTGACACCGCAAATGAAGGCATGTCCCAATCAGGTCGGGTGCTTTTTTGCTTCAAGCTTCAACTGAAGACAACAGCCCCAGGCCCCGAGTTTGTGAGTGAAGCTTCCAGTTTCTTTTTAACTGGAGAAAAATGCATGTTGTGTTGGATGGGATTATTTGGGGTCAGGCCATGCCCCCCACTGCAGAGGAAGGCAAACCCCCCAGTCTGGACCAGTCTGAGCTTGGGGGAATCCCTTCCTGTCCCCAGTGCAGTGTGGGACTGAGCCTGAGTGCAGGGGCAAGACCCTCCAGCCAGGACCCTGCAGGGTTGGTGCCAGCAGAAGCATTGGCACAGCCACGTCCCCATCCCAGCCAGCACCCAGTGCTGCTGAAGGACAGCGTGTGCATTTGGGGGAAAACATGCAAGGCAGCACACCTGCGTGCAACACATGTGCATGGGAGCACATATGCCCAGGAGGGCAGGCCTGAGTGTGCATGAAAACATGCACGAGTCCCAGGGCTCAAGTGTGCCTGTGAGCACTGTGATGCACATGCTGGATTAAGTATGCCCATGCGCACACATGTGTGCTGGGGGAAGCATGCCCATGTGAACACACATGTGCCGAGATAAGTATGCCCATGAGAACTGTGGTGCATGTGCACACACGTGCCAGGGCTGAGTGTGCCTCTCCGCAGCATTACATGTCACATGCACGTGCTGGGGTGATTGTGCCCATGTGTCCCATGGAGCGTGTGCACATTATGTGTGCCAGGGTAAGCCTGCCCATGGGCTCCATAGTGTGTGCATATGTGTGTGCCAGGCTGAGCCTGCCCGTGCTCCCCACGGTGTGTGCACGTGCATGCACTGGGCAGTGCACATCTGTGGGTGCTGTGGTGCGTGTGCCAGAGGGTGCTCACCTTTGAAGATGGGGCAGACCTTCCAGACGCCGAGGCAGCCCTGGCTGGCGAACTGCCCAAAGGAGAGCTCCATGAAGAAGAGCGGGATGCCGCAGAACACCAGCATGATGAAGTAGGGGAACATGAAGGCACCTGGCACACAGGGGGGGCAGATTCAAACCCTGGCACCCTAAGCCCTCACAGCCCAGCATCCCCGGGCTGCTCCCACGGACCCGATGCTGCAGAGAGCATGGGGAGGGGGCAGCACCTGCCAACCCTGTGCACCCAGACAGCGCCCGCAGTGGTGCCCGCCAGCCCCACCCGAGCCCAGCACCCCCAGCCCGCCCGCCAGCACGCACCCCCGCCGTTGCGGTAGCAGAGGTAGGGGAAGCGCCAGACATTGCCGAGCCCCACGGCGTAGCCCACGCTGGTCAGCACGAACTCGATCTGGTTGCCCCAGTTCCCGCGCCTGACGTTCTCGTCCCGCTTGGCCTCCTCCCCGGGCACCGCGCCATTCTGGGGGCGAAAGGGGGTGTTAGCACAGACAGCCCCGGCCCCCCCCAACCCCCCGGTGCAGCCAGCGCGCCCTGCCGGGGGGCAGGGACAGAGCAGGGCTGGGGCCCCCCCAGCGGCGGGCAGGGGGCGGCCGGGGCTCATACCAAGCAGAGCTGCCGCGGCCGCACAAAGGGGCCTCTGTTTCCGCGCACTCACCCCCCCCACCCCAGCATGGCAGGGGGGGGGGGGGCCAAGCCGGATACGCCCCCTCCACTGCAGCTGGGGGGAACCCCCCTCACTCCTGGGCTGGCAGAGAAGGTGGGGGATGGGACCCGGATGCCTGGGTTCTCCCCGTCTGGAGAAGGGGAGTGGGGGCTGGCAGGGGATTGCACCCCAGATGCCTGGGTCCTGCAAGGGGACAGGATGGGGGCTGGTGCCCAGCTGGGCTTGTCATCCCCACCGAGACCTGGCTGCGGGATGACCCCAGGCCCGCGGGCAGCCCGAGGCCGGGTATGGAGCTCAGTGGAGAAAGGCGCTTTGTCCCGGGTCGGCCCCTGCACCCCCCTGCGACGGGGCGGCCTCACACCCAGCAAACAAAGGAGCCGGCCAGCGGCTGCACCGGCCTGGCCCCCCGTCTCTGGGCTCCAGGGGCACCAGGGCCACAGCCAGCGCTGCACACGTAGGAGTGAGGGCCCTGGCACAGCCCTGACCCGAGCGGCTGGATGGGCAGGGATCTCCCACCCTGTCTTGACCCCAGCGCCCATCCGTGCCGGTGCCTGGCTCCAGGGCACCAAGCCGCCCGTCTCCTCCCCGCCAGGGCTCTGTCCCCTGGCTTGGGATGGGCGCAGGGCGAGGCCCCATACATGTGCGCATGCATGTGGCTCCTGCCCCTTTCCCGCCTTGCATGCTTATGTGTGTGTGTGTGTGTGTGTGTGCGCATGTGGGCTGGCACAGGCGCGGGCACCTGACCGTGTCATTCGATTAGGCGGGCAGCGAGGCGGGCACCGCGCCGGCCTGCCCCTCCTGCCAGAAGCATCCCCTTGACCCCTGGGCAAGGGACCATGGGGCTGAGGCCCAGGGGGCTGCTTGGCGTGGCCCTGGGGACTCTGCATGTGGATTCCCCGTCTTGCCAGGGGACCACGGATAAGTAGGCAAGTGTGTGCAGGCACGTGCAAGCGTGTGCAAGCATGTGCAAGAGTGTACAGGTATGTGCAGGAGTTTGCAGGCATTTGCAAGAGTGTGCAAGTATGTGCAGGTGCCCCAGAGCCAGGCCCGCCGGCTCCAGGCTGTGGGGAGGGGCTGAGACATCCGACCCCAGGAAACATCTCATCTGCGCCCTGCCCCGCGCAGGGGGTGGGCGAGGGGGTGCACGAGGCAAGACTCCCCCAGCCTTGGTGGAGCCCCGTGGCTCTGTCCATGGTGCTGCCTGCCCCCACTGGCACCGGGCTGGCACCGCCTGCCCGAGCGCGCTAATGCAATGGGGCTGCAGCCGAGTAGATCTAACGAAGCAGCTGCTTGGCCTCGTTAGCAGCCCGGCACAGGGGGCCGTGTGCTAAGTGTGTGGGGGGGGGCAAGGCAGGCCTGCCTCCCCCTGGGAGTCGGAGCCGGGAGGGGGTGATTGCAGGCACACACAGACACGTGCACACACACATGTGCATACATATATACGTGCATGCACATACACACACGTGTACTAAGCACATGTGTACTAAGCACATATCTGCACACACACATGTCTGCACCCGTAATAAGTGCATGCACATGTCTGCATGCACCTGCAAATACACACACACACACACAGGCACATGTACATGTGCATGCACATATGCCCACACACGCAGGGGGGCACAGGGCACTGGGGTAACCCCATGTCCCAGCATGCCCTACTCGCACCCGAGCGCCAGGCCAGGCCGTGCAGCATGCTGGGATGTACCTGACGGGCAGTGGAGACCTCCTGTGTTTCCACGGAAACCCAACACCGGCCACAGGGCTGGACCCGCCTGTTCCAGCTCCAAGTGCCAGGCGGGCACCAAAGGCCTCCCCGTGAGCACACGGGAGTCCCCGTGCGAGGGCCCCAGGGGCAGCCGCGCCAATCAGATGCAATCATCGGAAGCGGTGCATAACACGGCTGAGGCCGTGCCCCCCCCGGAGCCCCCCACCCATCCATCAGCGCCGCGGCAGCGCCGCTTTTCTCATGCTAACGAGCCACGACGGAGCACAAAGGCGGGTGCCCGGGCCCCGTGCCCGCGTCCCCAGCATCCGGCCACGCAGCCACCCCGGGATGGGCCCATCCCGCGCCCTGATGGATGTCCAGGATGCGGCCGGCTCTTCCAGCCCCCGCTGCCCGGGAGGGGCCAGGCGGCCCCCGCCAGCACCGGAGGGAGCGGCTGGCCCAGCCCTGGGCCCCTGCAGCTCCTGATGTCACCAGACCCTGTCAGCGACATCACGGCCTGTTGCTGCGGCGCCGGCGATGAGGTCATGGGTGGCAGGCCACGGGAGATATAAAAAGCTGCGCTCACAGGACCCAGGGAAGCACTGGGGGGGCTTGGATGCGTGTGCACACGTGTGAGACATACACCGTAGTGCAGACACCCGTGGGCTGTTGCGGCCAGCCTGGGCAGCCCCAACGGGCTGAGCGCCACTGTCCAGCAGAGCCTGCAGCAGGTGCGGTGTCGTCAGTAGGCTCCAGAGTCAACAGGCGCCTGAGCCGGGGGGTGTCACAGCCAGGCAGGCGGAGACAAACCCGTGGGCACCGGGGGCTGGGAATGAAGCCCTGGCTGGCATTGCCACAGGGCAGGGGTCTGGGGAAGGATGGAGGCAAATAGAGGAGGGGGGTCTCAGCCTGGCGGGGGGCACAGCTGGGCAGGGAGGGGCTGGGGGCAGCAGGGCTGAGCTGGTGCCTGCCCCAGGGCACTGCCCTCCCCACAGCAAGCCTGGGGAACAGCCCCAATCTCCTCCCCAGCCCCACCCAGAGCCATGCAAGGGGGGCAGGAGGGTCCCTGCAAGCAGC